TTTTTTATCCTTAACATCAATTTGAAAACAGCGGGAATTAAAAAAAAATAGTAAAAATGTTAATATCCTGTAGATTTTATGAACTACTTTAATTATATTTCAACTAATAAAAATTCTAAAAATCTGTGGGGGGAGCTTAAATCATTAAACATTGTTTCTAATAGCTCTAATTCGCCATTGCCTGCTAATTTATCGAATCCAGATGCTATTAATAATTATTTCATAGACAATATTCCAGATAATATAGGTGACAACTCTAGCATCTTTGATTATTATAATTTCAATAAAGTTCTTAACTCAAGTTTTAAATTTAAACTCGTCTCAATAGATACCGTGCGAAATGTCCTCCAGATTATAAAAAATTCATCGGCTGGTGCTGATTTGCTTAGTATATTTTTTATAAAGCTATGCTGTCCCTATATTTTATATTATGCTGTTCATATAATCAACAGTATTTTTATTGACTGTCAATTTCCTTCTTCCTGGAAAATTGCTCTAGTGACGCCATTCCCTAAGAAAGGTGATCCTAAGACTTTTTCTGATTTACGACCTATCAGTATTTTACCAGGATTGTCGAAAATTGCGGAAAAGATAATTGAAATTCAAATTCGTGAATACTTAGAAAATTATAGTATTTTACCTGTTTTTCAGTCTGGTTTTCGTCCTGGGCACAGTTGCTCTACAGCTCTAATGCACATTATTGATGATATTGTGGACGCTACTGACTCGGGAAAATGTACGCTCCTAATTTTACTTGACTACAGCAAGGCATTCGACACCATAAATCACGATGTTTTAATTGCTATTTTAAAATCATGTGGTTTTGAACATGACAGCATTAAGTTGCTATATTCATACCTTAATAACAGGACACAGTTTGTAAGAGTCTCTGAAAACCTATCTCAATCTAGATCTATCTGCAAAGGAGTCCCCCAGGGTTCCATATTAGGTCCTTTGTTATTTACAATTTATACATCACAATTTATAAAATTTGTCAAATATTGCTCCATTCACATGTATGCTGATGACACTCAATTATATTACTCGTTTTATCCTAAAGATTATCAATCAGCTATGCATAAGGTAAATGATGATTTAAATACAATATTTGATATTTCCTTACAGCATTCTCTTAGTATAAATCCTTCTAAAACAGCCTTAATTTTATTCGGCAAGAAGACTAAAGCTTTTGATATCTCTAAATTAATTAAGATTAATATAAATGGGCATTTGCTAGAATTTTCTAAGAGTGCAAAAAATTTAGGTTTAATCTTAGATTCCAACTTAAGATTCAGGGAGCAAGTTAAAAAAATGGCCCAACGAGCATACCTAGGATTGCGGCTTCTGTATCCCCATCGTAAATATCTAAACATAAATACTAAGAGAATGCTTTGTGAGACATTGATATTATCCCAGTTTTCATTTTGTGCCCCTGTATATGGACCTTGCCTAGATCTTGACAGCAGCAACCTCATCCAACGCGTTCAAAATGCGTGTATACGTTTTATTTTTGGTATTCGTAAATTTGATCATGTATCGCATAAGTTGCATGAACTTGGCTGGTTGGATATGTTCAAACGGAGAAAACTTTACTCACTTTGTTTCTTTCATAAACTTTTACTTACTAAGACTCCACCTTATCTATATAACAAAATTGTATTTCGCAGTGATGTGCATAATATTAATATTAGATCCAAAGGTTTACTCAGCCCTCCTCAACATAAAACGTCTTTTTTTGAGAGAGGTTTTAAATACAATATATACCGGTTGTACAACAGCGTCACACTCGGTGCAGGATATATTAGTTGTGCAAAGTTCAAAAAATTTGTTAGGACAATGTTATTTTCTTAGGTATGTTACTTATTTAATGCTACTATTGTTATTATTGTTGTAATTTATATGTTTACTGTGATGTAATACTGACTACGGTGCTTTATATATTAGATATATGGTATTCAAGGGTTAAGTGGTAGAGCACAATTATTGTGAACTTCCCCTTGAGATTTCCAAAACTATGGATAACCTTTTTATGTTTGTGCTGAATGACTTTTATTTTTTCTTTTGGAAATAAAGACATTATTATTATTATTATTATTATTATTACTTAACGACACTACAGCGCCTAAGTACAATAATAGGTACCTTAAATAATAAAAATAATATTTCTGATACCTTTAAACAACCTAAATACACATATAATTCACTCAGTTGATGTCACAACAGCCAACTAAACGAGCAGATCTGGCCTCACTTGAGCGAGATACAGAAATTTAAATTCAGATTAAATAAAATGATAACGAGCTGCCGAGAAGTAATTACTGCAGTATCTGATAAAAACACTTTATTTCAGCCTCTGGCGTCGCTAAAAAATTGCAAACGCGCGATCCATTCTAAAAGGCGATTTATGTAGGGACGTTTCCGCAGCACACAAAAATTCCATTTACACCGGGAACGATTTTAAGCGAAAGTTAAACAAAAAGACCTCATTAGCTTCGGAATATGTCTGGTCCACTTTACACGTATAACGGGGAAGCTTTATTATTTGCAGCAAGTGTATCGAGGCAGTCGCGAAAACTTCTGTTCTCACGTAACGGACGTAATGAAAATTAATAAAGATACTTCTCATATGATGGCAAAGTTGGGACTCGTTATACACTTGCAGTTAAAATAAATGGGGACAGACGGAATAGGATCAGCTAATGCTGCACCCAGTTTAGAGTAACGTTTTTATAATTTGTCTTGCTTGCATATTCCTTAAGACATAAAGAATGTTCAGCGGTAAAATTAAAAATTATCAACAGTAAGATCAAGATTACATTAAAACCCAACATTCTCTTTCACCAGCTGTGATTGGTGTAATTTTTCGGGACGCACCAGGGTTCCAGGAAAGGTCCACGGCAGATTGGCGCCAGGACCAGATACATATACATGCGAACGACTCCACACCACGAGGACTCTCCAGCGAACGCTCGCTCCAACAACACTTCCTTTTCACCAATTTTGTTCTCAATAAAAATACTTTTATTTTTACTGTTGAGAGAGTTTTATTTTTCTACATATCGCAGGGGACCCTCACAATAAATGAAATAAATACACGGTAAAAATTGAATGTGAAAAACGTTTTAATTTATATTGATTAAAATCTCCATCAAAGTAAACTCTGTTAAAAAATATGTATATGTCTTCTCTTGCTATGGGATCTCCTAGTTTTGTAAGCTTGGTATTGGCAAGATCCTTAAGTGTCCAACTGTTCCAGATTTTGTTTTTTTTATATTCTTAGAGGTATTTTGCCCTCCATAGTTCAAGAATTCGTTTTAGCTTTAAAACAAACATACACAAACTTTGAACAAAGTGAACAAAAAATTAGTAATCAGAGTGATAAAATTTACTTTTCCTTACCATTGACATCTAACGGCTTCATAAAAGTATAAGTACGTGTTCCTTGGTGATTGTGGCCAGAAACACAAATAAAATCATTGAAACCTGGCACTCTAACAGGGCCTTCCATATTCCTCTTACTCGCGACAAGCATAATAGGTAATTAAAATCATCAAAAATCCGGAGCACGCGGGACCACGTAACAGAGCTGGGTAATTCCTGGTGAAAAAGTAATTAGCAATTACAATTCCCTTTTTTTTCCTGTAATTGTAATTGTATTTAAGTACTTTTTTTATTAAAGTAATTTGGAATTGTAATTGCAGTAAAATTGTTATAGGAATTGTAATTTGTAATTATATTATTTGAACTATCGAATTACAAATTACTTCTATAAGTACAAATACTTTTTCCAATTACAATTACTTTTTCTAATAATTATAATTACTTTTAAGATCATGCGTATTGCGTAATTGCGTACAGACATGCAGACTTCTATTATTTCATTTGAGGAAAGCCTTGTGCCGCATGAACAATAAAAAGTGATTTGGTGAATTAACCTCAGAATTAACAGAGTACATTTGATTTTATTATAATTATTATTAATTTAGAAAAAAAAAACGAAGTAAAAATATGTTGTCTATAGCACCAAGTTTTCTAAAAATATATATTATGTATCTATGTGTTACTGCTCTTATTTTGAGTTGAGAAAACTTCTGGTTCGGTTACTCAGCCTTTCACTCGTACTTGTTCGATTCGTAATTTTTTTAATAATAATTATTGCTTTCCAGTCTACCCAAAACTACTGTATTCTATATTTTGCAAATATACTAACAACCAAATAAAAGAGCATCGGGTTGAATTAATTACCTGACTAATAATATAAAATTATGGTATGAACTGAACTAGTTTAAATTATTAGATTAGGAAGAAAAATATAAAAATTCTATATCAGAAAATGAAAAAGAATAATCTTTTCATTTTAGTATCAATTCTAATAAATAATAAAACGCAATATTACACAACACTTTTAATTTAAATTTTTAACTTAACTTTTTCCTTTTTCTCTGTTTGGTCATTATAATTTACTTTATCATAAAAGTAATTAGAAAAGTAATTAGAAAAGTAATTGCTAAATCCATTTTCCATGTAATTGTAATTAAATTAATATAATTCCTTTTTTAAAGAATATACTTTGTAATTGTAATTAGTTCCTTTTTTTAAAAAAGTAATTTGTAATTGTAACTATTTTTAAATTACAAGTAATTACCGAGCTCTGCCACGTAATAATACTTACATATGTATATCGCTAAACAGTATTGCTATTACATGACCACAGTGACTTAGAATTAGCATAAAGTATTATGAAGTGGAAAATTAAACGCCAGATGTCATGTTTTCTTTATTTTCTGTTAAAAATAACATTCAGAGGCAACTATTTCTTGTGTTTTGGATGTTAATCTTATTCACATGACTATAAAGTTTCACATTCTCGTATTTTATCATATTATATATAATTTTCCCCATCTTATTTTTTACTGTGTACTATACTGAGGTAGAAATCTATAACTTTTAATCTAAGGTGAAGATATAGTTTTCTAATAACTTCGATCTCGATTTTCCAGAGACCTCAAGGAAGCCATTAGATGCATCCACGCTTACACTAGGCACTGCATGAACAACGAACACAGAAGGCATTTCAAGAAGCTCTTCCACGGCACAGGTCTAATGGTACACGAATTGTGCAGGAACGGAACATACCAGGAAGGTAAGGCGTCCTTTTACGAGGATTTTATCTCTACATGAAATCCGCATTTTGCCACATATAAATTCATTGCGTTCCGATTCAATAAAGTGAACTACTTAATCTAAAATATGAATTTCCTCAACTTATACTTCATCGTCTGCTGAAAAAATTATAGTTACTGTCCAATTTTTGATAAGCCATAACCAAAATCAAAATCATTTGACACTTATTTCAATTCCAATCTTAGTGCAGCATCTGAAATTGTCTTTTTTTTTGTAGAGTATCTGAAGCACGCACCTTGCATGAAAAGAGTGGAGAAGCAGAACGAGGTCTGCTTCAAACGTTACACCAAAGCCATGAACGAGATCCAGTCCAACACGCCGGAAGTGAACAGTTCCGAACCGGATATAGTCAACGTGATCAAGAAGAAGAGGGAAGCCGCAGATGAAGGAATAAAAAATGTCTGCTGGTGAGTGTTTTGCTATCTAATAAATTAGATTGAATTCAGATCAGGTCCGCCGAGTGGCCGCATCTTTTGCTTTTCACTCATGCACATAATTTGTTTATTTTTAAAACGACAATAACAAAATAGAATTTTTTTGTATTTACATAATAAGTATAACTAGTTCCTCTCTTTTATATTTAAATATATTTAAAAAAGGTATACAGATACTGGATCTGAATTTGCATTACCATACCCGCGTTTATGGTGGATTAACACTGTGAATACAACATATTTACATTTGTTTGTAGCACTAAATCACAAGGCCTTCAGAGTACATAATAAGAGATGGTCATTGATAAAAAATTAAACCAGAACTATTAAAAAATCCATATAAACACTCAGAAACACTAATTTTTAAAGAAAATGTCCAATTTTAAGGTTTTAGTGCAGTCAGAAATTCATTCATTTCAACTTTTTATGTTAACTTATTTCTGATACATTAAAAAACTGACCGTTGATCCTTAAAAAATATTGCCAATATTGTCCATTCACCCAAGAGGTTGGTCTACAATTGATTTCTTAGAGGTATCAGTCTACCGGGGTCTACAAGTGATATCTCTTTGTCATTAAATCTAAGTCCTTTCCTCCAAGAATATAATTAGAACCTTATCACTAGAGGAATACCTGGTAATACAGGGTGTCTCATAATTAGCTGCCAACCCTGAACAGGCCGATTCTATGATCAAAACTAAGTAAAAAAGTTCATATGAACATGGGTCCGGAAATGCTTCCTAAGGGCACAGGGACCCATTGAAGAGGGAGGAATGGAAATCATTTTTTTGCAATATCTCTCAATCGCGTTGTGATAAATGAATGAAATTTGGTATACACAGCTAAATTTTGATGAGCAATTTGATGGACTAATCCATTTATTTCCACAAGGTCCATTGGGGTGGGTACGGGGGGGCCCTTGGTACTTTGCGTGTGTAACTTTTTCATCTTTGACTTTTTAACAAATTGGACAGCAAATTCCGTTTTCCCGAACTGTTTTACGTTAAAAAGGTACTCTTGTTTCAAATCGTTATCTTTAACGGTTTCTGAGAAAATCGCTCTTGAATTAATCCCACTTTGGTCAATTTCATAGTAATTTAAACAAAAAAAAATAATAATAATTTTCCTTTCCTCTCTTTTCCATTTAAAGGATTAATTTTTATTTAATTTAATTTTTTATTATTATTTTTTTATTAAAATTAGATTAAATTTAAACAAAAAAATTTTTTTTGTTTAAATTACTATGAAATTGACCAAAGTGGGATTAATTCAAGAGCGATTTTCTCAGAAACCGTTAAAGATAACGATTTGAAACAAGAGTACCTTTTTAACGTAAAACAGTTCGGGAAAACGGAATTTGCTGTCCAATTTGTTAAAAAGTCAAAGATGAAAAAGTTACACACGCAAAGTACCAAGGGCCCCCCCGTACCCACCCCAATGGACCTTGTGGAAATAAATGGATTAGTCCATCAAATTGCTCATCAAAATTTAGCTGTGTATACCAAATTTCATTCATTTATCACAACGCGATTGAGAGATATTGCAAAAAAATGATTTCCATTCCTCCCTCTTCAATGGGTCCCTGTGCCCTTAGGAAGCATTTCCGGACCCATGTTCATATAAACGTTTTTACTTAGTTTTAATCATAGAATCGGCCTGTTCAGGGTTGGCAGCTAATTATGAGACACCCTGTATAGCTGATATGCTCGTCGTGACTCATTTACACTGTCACTATCTTAAATCAGTTAATTTCCATCAGTAAGCTACGATGCTCTGCTTTTTGGATTATATGTATATCATGTCACTGTTTTGGAAGAACTCTGAAAAACTAAAAGAAAGTGAACTAATAGTAATAAATATACTAATAATAATACTACTAATACTAATAATAAATCGAAGAATACTATAAAATTAAGTAATTTTGTGAGAATGGATTAAATGAAGTATTTCCATTTGTTACGTTTTGACAGTTTTAGGAATTCCTAGCCAACAAAATGTATAATTGATATTGAAAACAGAAGATTGCAGAAGATGCAGCAATAATAAATTTTGAACAGCAAATTTAAAATAGCTTGATTGAAAATTGTGAATTACACCCATGTACGTAAAAGAATTTATATCGTACACAAATAATGTAGATAACAATAAAAAAACTATGGTTGCATGGTAAATTTAAATGAAACCACCAGAGCAATTTTTTTTAAATTCAAAATAAACTGTACCTAAATCTTAACACAGTGTTATTTCGAAAACGACGTGCTCTGGGACATGTTTTTTTTATAGGACACTTACTTATGACGTAAAATGCGTCTCAAGTTTGGCCAAGATTTTAGTTACACCCTGTATGTTTTAGCACCAACGAAACAGAATAAAATTTTATATTTTTAATCAATTTTCTGATTTTCAAATTCGCTGAAAGATGTTTTCAGAATTTCGTGCGTTGGGCACCCCGATAACTACTTAAACTGATCAAAATTTCCACCACTTGATAGTTTCCATCTCGAACTCGGAATATATTCTGTGCAACAAATTCGATTACAGACATTTTCGTCCGTGTTGCTTTAATATTTATAAGAAAGTATACGTCTGCTTGTGCTCTACTCAGAACATTTTCTAATGCAGCCGCATATCTTGCGAGCCTCACTATAAAAATATAAATAAACCCACAGTCTGGATATACGTGCAGTATAAACCACGACTCCAATAATAGGAAATAGAATTTTACATTTCACAACGGATACTTCCGTCAGAAAAAGTTTACATTTCAATTAAAATATGCAAAATAGTTGTCAGCGACACACTAAAAATCCATAATTAACAAACCGAATTGGGAATTTATATTGGCATATAAATTATTTTTCAGCTACCAGTCACATGCAAATGTGACAGTGCCGAGCGGTTTAGTTTTATATATCGGATTTTCGTCGAGCCAATTTTTTTCAAGGTGTAGCTGGCGCGAGCTCAACTTTTAGTGACGCTTTTGTAACAAAGTCTAGTTAATGAGGTGTTGCAGCACGATAAAATTTATGGTTATCGCCTTTAGCACAATGCTTCATTACGGCCCTTCAGAATATTACTGCAAGAACTCGGCCTTCACGAAATGTCTAGCTCCTTACTATTCCCAGCACGATCAGCGCAAGGGCGATTGTAGCACAGGATGAAGTACCGAAATCACGCGAACTGACATTTTTGACATATTAACTACATGAAAAGATGTATTTATAATAATAGACTGCCCTTTCCGTCACACAAACCACTATCTATAGTCGTTACGATATCAGTTGGAACCGCATAAAAACATTTGACTCATAAACTCTACGGAATCCACAAGCGTCCAGAAAAATTTTGCTGTCTCGTCTTAGATATACTATATTCCGAGCAATATTCCTATTTAGTTGACGATATTCTCTAATTTTTTGTAAATAATCTTCCCGAAGTGCAACTATACATGGTGAATTCATAATTACCATACGACTGTCAATTTTTTTGTTGTTTAAAACCGCATTGTAATAAAACATGTCGTAAAATATCTAAAGATTTATAACGCGTCTCCTTTAATTACGCGATAAATTGTCGTTTATAATAAAAATAACAATTAAATTTTAATAAACGCCGTATTAATTTACAGCATATATCCTGTATATTTCCACAAATACCTTGTTTCTCATTTAATACAACAAACCTAGTTTTTCGTGCCTTAATAACAGTACTGAAAATCAAAGTACTAAATTTTCAAATCGTTATTAACCTTGACTGACTCCAATCGATGCAACACCCAGTATAAACCGCGAGGTGTAGCTGACAACTTTCCTCTCACAGTCCTTATGCCGATAAGCAGTCGCTAGGCAGTTTGTCCGGATATGTTAATAATTTTTAATAACCATTCACAATAGACATTGTTTGAATGCTGAATATAATCTCCCTTATCGTAGAAACAGCGCCTTGGGGGCACAAACCTACTTATCACAACAGTCTGGCTTAGAATTGTGCCAGAGATATGATTCTGTGTAACTCGGACCATATCTTTAGAAACCTACACTAAGAAAACAGTAGTTTAATAGTTTAATAATATTTCCTTTTTAATATCTAATAAACATTAAATCTATCTTTTGCTTGCTCGATGAACAAATGAAATAGAAGCCATCAAAAAATTGTAGTATAAAATTTTAAGTTTGGCGTGTTTAAAATATTTCAATTTTTATCATGTCTTTGGATAGTGCCGTGTTTTGAATAATATATTTGATGGCCAGTGGGTTATTGTTACTACCTGGACAACGGAGTCTCGTTTTATCGAACTTGATATTAGAAGCAATTATGGATTATGGATACCTACTCAAAACATGTCTTCAATTTTTGTAACTGAATATGCATTGGGACACCCTGTATATAGAAGTTTTGTAGTGTTATGTAATTGTAATTAAGGAAACAGACTGCCACATGTACCGCATTTAGAAAACGGCAGTTATTTAAGAGCCTTATAAATTTCGGTTAATGTCTCGAAAACGGCAATTTAAATTTGTTTGGTATCATTACTGTCGGAAGAATCCGACAAAACGCCGCGAAATTTATCATTCATTTATATTTTAAGAGCGGAACCAGCGCGGGCGAGTGTAAGGACTAAAAGTCTGTTTCGGCATGCGAAAAATTGTTAATGGTCGCTGGAACTAATGCCTCCCAACGTTTTTTTCGGACTTAAGTAAATTTCAGCCGCGGGAAAAGCCGTTGTTTCGCACGCTTTGATGTCGTTTGCAGGGGAACTGTAAAAATAAGAAAAGTCAGCCAAATGACGCTTAAAGTACAGTCATAGTACACAGAAAAATATCGACAGCCCCAGCGGTTTGAAGTTTCATGAAGGATAGAAGAAAAATATTGTTGGCGTTTACAAACTTTGAGGGTATTTTTTAATTCTAAATATGCATTGAAACTGCAATACGGTACTTAAAATTAATAATAATCAAAACTGTTAAAACTTATTGAGGACTTCTGGAATTATTGTACCCACTATTGTACTTTACATCAAAATTAAGTAGCGGCAGATAACGCGTCGTTCGTTTTTTTTTTTTATTAATTATTCTGGGTACTTACTTAATATGCACAGCGATTTATGTAAACGCTTGAAAACAGAACCAGCCGAGCTATCAACGGAGTCAGCGGTTCTAAAAATGTGACTTCGTAAGTCGATAAATATTAAACAAATATTCTAATTGCAAAAAATATTTCTTACATCTGAGTTCTCACACCTCGTTTTATTCACTGTTCAAATGTATTCTCCACCCTGTATAGTCTGTGGAAGTGTGGTGTGCACGTACTAGAAAAATAAAATCGAAAGTGGTAGTCAAAAAAGAGTAAAAAAACTCCACAATCGGGAATATCATGATTATTTTGTAACATTTGATAAAATTAGACATTTTAGAGAAATTATTTAAAAAAATACGTCAGTCAATATTGAAAATTTTAAAAATTGCAGCACTTAGCATGTCACGTACAATTCTTAAAAATATATGCCGCGATAAGAACTAGACGTTTTCACTTTCTTCGGCTGATAAAAAATGAAAAGATTGGCATTTCGGAAATTACCCGTTTTAAAACAAATGAAAACGAGCAGTTTATAACCGTGGTTGAAATATGGGAGTTTTCCCCTAACCGAATGAGTTCCTCGTTTTTTTTCCTCTTTAGTGGTCGATCTAATGGATGCTATATATCCTACCTTATTGCCCAAATATTACGGCTTCCACATCCCAACGCACAATCCAAAATACACGCAAATAATTACGAGATTATCGAATATATCCCTTCACTTTTATCGAAATTTTATTACCGCTGTTAAAAAGATTAAATTAAATTAAATGATATATGTTTGAATTTTTGTTAGTCCACAGGTACATAAAGTAGTTAGTTTTTTTATACGGCCTATGGTATCGTAGGAATCTGAAAATGATAAAAAATTATAACTTTTACAGTCTATACAAATTCATACTTTATTTTTTTAATTTAATTTATCCGCCGGAACGAAAATTATATACATACAAAACACTATAAACATACTTACACATAATTAAAAAGGAACAAAAATACAAAAACAACTATAAATTATGTTAAAAAATTACGGAAGTCAAGTAAACAATAAACAAATGCCAATTACGTTACGCAAAATAAAACTCGATATCACTGATGAAATGAATAACAAAAAGTGGGCCATGTACTGAACCCTGAAGCATGCCTGATGTTTTTTTCGATATATCATATTTGTAACCCCAGTATTGTACAAAATCAACGCGAAAGGCAAAATGTGATTTCAAAAAGTGTAAAAGTGTGTGGGTTAGCTGTTTACTTGATATTGGGAGTATAATTCAATGCAGGCCGGAGCAAGTAATTCGCAGAATTTTTTTTAAATTTTTTCTCTCGTTATTTTGTCATTTTCTAGGTTCAATTCTGAAAATTTCGAATCGATATTTTAATTTCTAAAGGTCACTCATAATTATTTTAACTTTCAAAGTAGTGTTCCTAAAGTGAGCGACCTCTAAAATATCAACGAACTAATTATTTTTTATTGAATTTGATGAACAAAAGAATAGAAATAAATCACGAAACACTTAAATTTTTAAAAATTAAAAAATTATTAATATTTGATACTCAGTGCGGTGGTAAATTTTGCCTCGAAAAATTTTTTAAGTGTCTCGTGATTTATTTCTATTATTTTGTTCATCAAATTCAATAAAAAAATTATTAGTTCGTTGATATTTATTTTTAGAGGTCGCTCGAAAATATTTTAGGTATGTACACTACCTACTTTGAAAGTTAAAATAATTAATTATGAGTGACCTTTAGAAATTAAAATATCGATTTTAAATTTTCATAATTTTTTTCAACCTAGAAAATGATAAAGTAACGAGAAAATTTTTTTTTTAAAAATCAATTTTTGACGATTTCGGAAATTTTTAAAAAACTTGAGCTACCTCTAAAAAATTTTTTTTGAGCTGATTTTTTGTGGGTGCTCTTAAAACATGACAAACTAACATTTTCACAAGAAACACGATAAAAATATATATTCGGTTTTTTTTGGGCCACCCTAATATACATTAATCTAATTTATCAGTTGATTTGGAGAAATCTATATAGATCGTATCCACTTAACCTTTTTGATTCAAAATTTCAATAAATTGGGTAACATAAGCTAGATTGGTTACAACAGATACAAGCATAAAGCTATGCTGATCAGGAATAACTAAGGCTTTTGTGTAAAAGTACTGCCTTTAGAACAAATGATTTTGCCCCAAAAAAATATTTGGAAAAAAATATCTCCTCAAAACTCCTCTAACCAAAAATTACTTTCAATGAAAAGTATAAGAAACGACACTTTCGTATGAGACGAATGATGTAGATAAAAAGTTTTATCAAATCACATATTTCCCCGATATTTCTTTCTTAAGAATTATTAACGCGAGTATTTTTTTGCAGTTCCTTCCAAGAATACGTAGAATGTTCAACGCACACAATGAGGCGGCAGTGTGGCGAAGAAGCCGCCGAATTCAGTAGAAGGTTCATGGACAAAATGTCTTCCTCCATGATACAGGTAGGCACCATTTAATTTTTTTAAATAGTGTAACTATTGTAGTACCTATTCTAAATTATACGTGGCCTGCTGGAAGTCCACATCTGACACCTATAGAGGTTTTCTTAAAACTTTGATCTATTAAATGTTAAACATAGAATGATCAACAATAAGTCTTGTTCTAACACTTCTTGTTTTTTTTATTACGAGCGTATTACTGATGCAGGTATTACGGTTAATTGAAGGCATGAGCATAAAACTTCGAACGACGTATCGACCGCACAGCGGCGAAAACAATTTTTATTATGGAGGGTCGTAAAACCGGCAAAACGTCAAAAAATAATACAAAGCTCAGTTTATTATTGGTTATAAAATTTGCATACAAAACATTTAAACGTTAAATAATAAAAGCGAAAATAAATAGACGCCACTTTACGGTTGCGCGTAATTCAAAAAATATCACCGAAACGTGATTATGGCGTCGTTTTATTGCCCGATCCGGGAAAACACGTACGGCCCTCCATCATTTTTCTTCCGTGCCATATTCTAATACCCGTTAAAGTGCCCCAGTAAATGAAATAACCAAACGTAGCCTTCGTGAAACTTTGATACATAAAAATTAATATACGTAATGGGGCGACCTTTTAAAGTTTTATCTCGGCCTCTTAAAAAGTTTCAGTCGGCGCGGCGCCGCCGCCGCGTCGGGAAAATGACCGTAAAACGTAGGAAAAGGACATTCGGTTTGATGTTTCTGCATCATTAATTTATTTTGCGCTCCAGAAATAATTATCTAGTTTATCGCGACAGTCGCGTTCTATTCTAATCGGAGATTTGCATATTTTTACGCCCAGAACGGCTATCTAGATCGTCCGTTAATAAGCTATCACTGTCTGATATCGCAACAAAACGCTTCCTTCTTTTAATTAATGAACCGAAAAAATCACGGGTGTCGCGATAGTTAACATTTATATTCTGTAGAAGTCGCTTGCTTCCATAAGCGCCGCTAAAAAGGGGAAAAATAGCAATAAATGGCAATAAATACATAATGTCATCCATTGTCGCGAAGTCAGTAGCGTCACTAAGACTTTAGCATAGGTATATTATTAAAATCGAAGAAGATATGCTCATCGGCAAGTATTTAAAATGCCGTCGACACTGATGACGAACATTGTCCATGTACACTATTTCTACGTGAACTTCGAAAAGTGCGAAGGGATTTATTTAAAAAATATATATTATTGTGGAGCATTTATCGAGGAATATAAATATAACACATGGGAGAAAATATTAATGCAAGTACAAACAAAATTCTAAATGAAGATATATTAGTTTAGCAAATATTAGGTAACTACTTTCACACATACTCGTCAACTCGTAGTTTTGTGTTAAAATTGTATCTATTATCATAATATGATAATAGATACAATTCTCTCTCTCTATTCTCTCTATTTTTCAGAAACACCTAGACTTCTTCTTGGTAACTTGATTATTTGCAAATTAAATCTAAATAAAAGTAAAAGAACTTTTACTCTCTATTAAAAAAGTGTCTACTTATGTCTAATTATGGTCAATTTGTTTTCATGACACATATTACAGCCTTTATAAATATTTACAAGCCACGTCACCGTCGAACTTAGGCAACCAACAATGCACGATCAGTACTGCCAACCAACTGAAAATCAGTAAAATCACTAAATCTTAACGTCACCATCACCAATATTCACGATTCGTTCACAATAAACAATGACAAACCATTACGCTCGAGATAATGCGATGGCTGATTGGTAGAACAGTTATATTTTTGCAAATTTTAAATAACTTGGAACAAAATTGGGAATTTAAACTACTAAGCTCAACCCGGAACGACATTCCTGTATATAAACAAATCTGTACCATATACATGCATTCATAGGCAATAAATAATTAAATCCAAAAATAAATAAAATTGCTTGCCATTTTTTTGTAGTTTAGAAAAGAAAATATCGCAGGTTTTCTAACCATATTTTTCTGTTTCAGTTACACTGCACAGAGTACGGAAGAAGAGAGTGTGGCTTAATAGCAGCCTCCAGTAGGATAGAAAATTCAGCACTAGCGGTCATAGCCTTTAGTTTAGTAGCACTCTTCTTGCGGTGAATTGTATCATTATAGAAACGGTGTGATGTTGGAATTGAGCGAATGGTCAAGATAAAGTTGCGTGCATTTACTCTAGTATTGTGTTCAAGGAAATTTTTGATTTGTGTTAATTAAGTCAAACAAGGGAAATATGCAATTACTAGAACTGTTTAGAATTACTAGTAGGGAGTAGGATAATTTCACAAAAGACTGATATAGTAGCTATATTTCCCTGGTTTGACTGTAATCTCTCTAAAAGTGGCCCTGTCACTTGGTCGGGCATAAGGTCTGCCACAACATCACCGGGTCCATGATTTAGTAATAGAATATTTTAGGAACAGAGGCTCTCTGTAGTGGATGTAGTATTTCTTGTGGCAGTCTGCTGGGACCCTAATCTCCACTTGTTCTGATTAATTCATAATTTTTTATTTTTATGTAAAACACTACATTTTAAAACTTATTGTTAAAATAAAATTTTTAAAAAATATATATAAAAATTGTAGATAAAATTTGTTTATATATAACGCAGAATATATAAAGATACCAAATAAGCAATCACTATATTAGATAACTAGTTAATTTTTAGAGGCACTTTATCTCTAGTCTTTTTCTTATTAAGTATGTGATTGCAAATGATAAAGGAACTGCAGAAATAAATTATGTTTTATTTATTTTTGTAACAAAACAGTTATATTCTCAATCATCGAAATAAAATTATATCAAAAAGTTCCTATAAAATTGTTATCGTTGTCCGATTTAATTTATTTTATTCATATTTAATTGTGGCATAACACCACATATTCCATTGTAATGTGTAATGCTAAGTAGTAGATATCATTATTTATAATAATTTTTAAATGTGTAAATTATTTTTCTACACCGTCCATTCATCATATTAGTTGTGATAAAATTATCAAAATGATCTATTGAGAGCGAGAATAAATGCTGATACTTATATATAGTTGTACATATCAATAATAACAAATATATATTGAAAAGACATCAATCAATTTGTTAACAAAAAAACTGTTGTAATAAAGTATTAATTAAAAATGATCGCCAGACATTTTGAAAACATTGTAAATAGGTAGGTATGTTAGTTGGAAATAAATAAATACATCATCAAACTGATTTTAATTTCATACTCCTGTTACAGTTTAAGTATCTATCTCAGCAAGTTAATATTTACTATTTAGCAGAGCTGGGTAATTACTTGTAATTTAAAAATAGTTACAATTACAAATTACTTTTTTAAAAAAAGGAACTAATTACAATTACAAAGTATATTCTTTAAAAAAGGAATTATATTAATTTAATTACAATTACATGGAAAATGGATTTAGCAATAACTTTTCTAATTACTTTTCTAATTACTTTTATGATAAAGTAAATTATAGTGACCAAACAGAGAAAAAGGAAAAAGTTAAGTTAAAAATTTAAATTAAAAGTGTTGTGTAATATTGCGTTTTATTATTTATTAGAATTGATACTAAAATGAAAAGATTATTCTTATTCATTTTCTAATATAGAATTTTTATATTTTTATTCCTAATCTAATAATTTAAACTAGTTCAGTTCATACTATAATTTTATATTATTGGTCAGGTAATTAATTCAACCCGATGCTCTTTTTTTTTG